TATAGTTATCCTACTTATAACCCCATTTATAACTACCCATGAACCTCCAAGCCCTCTGTCCGAGATACAGCCTGTTCGACAACCTCGTCCTCAGCAGTTCATTGTGTTGCAGCCTTCAGACTATGCCTAAGCTGAGCCTGCACCCCACGCCGGTCCCGATGCCCAAATCTACACTCAGTCTCAATGCCTTTCATCTTTGCAGAGTGCCCCTCGAACACCCGAAAACTCTGAACCGGCGATAAGCCCAAAATCCTATTATTCAAGGCCGTAAAACCCAACCCCCCAAACCCCTCAGTAACCCTACCAAAAAATCCAAGAAGCGGCAAAACCAGCCCCCCAAGAAAACTCGCTGCCTGAGGGAGGATGAAGAAGCTCTTGGGCTCCAAGACCTCGGCGTGCTCGGTGGCTTCGAGGTTTTGCTGGCATAGGGTTTTGTTCTGCCTCCTGCTGAGCAAGGTGGAAGCCCTGGGTTTGGGCGGTGTGCTGAGTGTGGTGATACGGCTTTGCATGGCAGTCTGATTGTGGTTAAGTTGTGTTTGCAAACGTAAAAAGTGCCGAAATTCTGATAATATGGTGACTTGGTGGTTCGCCCTTCGTGCAGGTACTGTCAGGATGCTTGTCCCGTCCTTGTCTCCTTATCCTTTCTGGTCTCTCTACCAGGTAACACCAGTAGTATGTTGCACCGGTAGGTTGTGGGTTTTAATTCTTATTCAACCGTAAAAACCCTACTCTCAAAGTGAGGCACTCTTGAGGGACCCTGAACAAGAGTAGCAAGCCTGTATGGTAATGTAGGGGTTTGGGTGGTTTGTGGCCCTCGAGCTTTTTAGAGCTTCAAGGAGTTGTTGTGTTCTATGATTCTATGGCACCCACGGCATTTGAAAGCACAACTCGGAACCTAAACCGTATACCCCCCAGACCCACACCGAGGTAACATCACACAGCAGTTTCTGTCTTCCCAAGCAGAGGCCACGCTCCGAACCACGTGGTCCGCTACAACTTTTCCGCCGACTTGCCCCGGCGAATTTTCCACGGCTTCGAGGATGTTGCCCGCCTTTTACTCTTTCGAGCAGTTGGGAGAAAACCACATATTAAAGAAATTGAAGGACGTCGGATGTGCCAGTGCGGGGTTTGTGTTGGGTTTAAATACGTTTTAAAGGATCGCAAAGCAGCCCATTCATGTTTCCCAGCAGCGATGCAAACAGGAAAAAAGGACATGCAGCTACAGCAGACAGATAGTAACTCCGTTCTGGTCTGCACCGACTCCTTTCCAGCTGCCTTCTTGGCCAGCTGGATGGGACTGTTAATCCGCATCTACATTTAGCCTCTCGCATTGTTGGTTCGAAACCAGCATGCTCAGGGCGCTAACTTTTGACGACGATCCGTGCCTAAATATTGCTTGGGTTAAAAGGTCGCAGCACCTCTCGATGCAAGCGCCATGAACCCGGATAGACGTAAGAGAACGAGGCCAACTGTCCGACTAATTGATGGAATGTTAAATCGTTTCCTGGCGGCTCCATGTCGCTTTGTGAAAGACGTGAGCATGTACCTGTAGACACTACACCCAAGCCTCTTTTTTTTGAACCCAGACTCAAATCGTGCACCAGCTACACCCAAGCCTAAACCTCCAAACCCCAATCCCTTCTCCCCAAACCGCGCATCCTGAAACCGTGAGCCATAAGACTTAGACATAAAGGGCGAAACGGTGAAGCCAAGCCCTTGCTACAGTTTCTACGGAGAAGGGCTCGAGCGGCACATTGCCGCTGGCAAAGAGCTGGGGCAGCACGTTGGCTGTGGGGCTTTTTGCCTCAACCCCCTGAGCTTTGATCTTATAACTCGTAAGCAGTACGAAGCAAGTTTCAGGCATCCCCCAAAGTGGTACCGGAACACGGTCTAGAGATGCTGTGTCGCATCAGCCTAAGAATCCTCGATGAACCTTACAGCAGCTTCCTCCTCCGGCGTCAGAGCACGCTTCGTCAGCATACGCTCCTGCAGAAACTTGGAGCGAGGCCTCATGAACCTCCCGGCCCCACAGCCTCTGGAGATATCTGGAGGACGGCGTGACTGTGAGATTACAAACCGAGAAGCCCTGCCATCGCTTCATCCCGTGAGGCATTCCGACAATGCAAACTGCTGCAAAGCCCCTTCAGCCCGAAGTTCTCAGAGACCTTGTGAGCTGCATACTCACCGAAGACACAAACACCGGCTGCTCCAGCAGCCCTGTCTGCCGCAGCGACGCGACGACTGCCCTCTGTGCCGAGTTGGAGGCCGAGCCCGGCATGACCTGATTCTGGTCTCGGGGTCCCGGTCTCGGAGCACTAGGAGTGTCGCGACTACCACCACGGATGCACCTCTCCGCAGGAAATACTGGCAGCAGGGCGCCGTCGCAGTCGTCGCCGTCACAGTCATCAGCCGTCGTCGTCGTCCTGGTCGTGTCGTCGTAGTCTAATATGCGTACTCGCAGTCGCAGTCGCAGCTGGGCTCGCAGAAGCAGTAGTACTAGCAACTTAATGGTACAAGTCGCACTAAACGTCCTAAGTGGTACTAGCAGTACCAGTACCACTGGTAGTAGAAGTAGTTGTAGTCGTCGTGGTGGTGGTCGTAGTAGTAGTTGTTAGTAGTAGCAGTAGTCATAGTAGGAGTTGCTAGACATCGCTAGGCTTCGATGGGTTGTGCACGGAACTCAAGCGCCACCAGAAACCGGAGGAGCTACACCCAAACCCCGCGAAGCCCCGGTTATGCTTGCATTATGCATTCTCGCAGATCGCCCAGCCTGGTTGTCCTGTATGATGCCGGCCACAGCCAGCAAAACTCGAAAAGGTGTTTTCGCATCCTCCTGGTCAGGCTGGGCGACTAACAGTGGTGAGCTCGACCCAGTCCCTGGTTCCAACAAGTGAAAAAGGGCTGCAGTGGGAACCTGACATGATCCTGGCCCTGCGCCATATCCAGCGACAACTTCACAGAAGTCCCCATCAAGCCAACTTACTTGGCATGCCCGGCCTCGTAGAAACGCAGCGCAGCCCAGATTCCTAGAGCCTGGGGAATCATGCTGACAAGCACAGACTGACCCCAAAGCTCTTAGCCTCTGAACAACAAGTCATAGCTAGTCCGTGGTACTGCTTTACAATAGATTATCATTTGTTGTTGCTTGTGTTCGTGCCTGCCTGCTGGTGCAAAGGAGCCGCCGAAACACTGCTGTTTGGTCGCAACATGTTACGAAGGCCAGTTCTGAGGGCTGCAGGCCTGTAGATCTAAGAGGGACATCTTCTGTGCGGTTTGACAACAGCCTGTCAAACGCAGAACCCAACACGGCACCGACCCAAACCTCCCCAACATCCACCCTCAGCAATGAGAGTGCCTTCGCCCATCGTGGTGCAAGGTGCCCCGTGCGGCTGATGGAGGAGGATATGGCCTCGGGCATCAACTTCGCTCGGCCGAAATCAGCTTGCAATTTCCTTGCGGCATTTCATGTGACTGCCCTCCTCGACTCTAAACCAGACTTGCTCCAACGCACTCTGTGCAGAAGACGAGCATGCACTCCCAAACCTTCAACCCCTGCAGTACCAACCACTCCAGCCATGGTACTCCAGAGTTCGGCAGCTGGAGAAAAAGAAGCGGTGCACGCGGACCCGCAGCACCTTTGCATTTGGGTTTCTTGTGTTTGCGATGGAGGGACTCGACCAGGTGGTTTTGAAAGCCTCTGCGACCCCGGCCGGGATGCTACTGTAGACAAATTCATAATGTTAGACAGATTTTGGACATAAGCAATGCAAGGCTTGTTCTGAAGCTGAGACTGAACAGGACCCTTTACGCTAGCGCTCTTTCCAGGAAACCCTAATTCAAAGACAGTGCCTTGATCAGTCCGTCCGTTGTTCACAACTAACGAAGGTAACAGCGAGGCTATGCAACTTGTTATAATGGAAAGCAGACAGAAAAAACACACAAATCGAATTGCGGGTGCTATGCCAGCAAGTTCTGTTTTGACTCCGCCTGAATGACGACACACATCCAACTTCAAGCCGTAATCAGTTTCGAGGTGCTCGAGCCTGGCCGAAACCGTTCGTCAAGCGGCACGTCCGAGGCCTCCTTTCAGCGACAAACTTGAGCTGTTCCTATAGTCTCCATTGTAGTTCCTGTTTTTGGAACAACCAATAATATTGTAAGGCTATTATCAGTTCTCCCCAAGAAGGAACTACGATGGAGACTATAGGTTGCATCTAGTGCACCAGGACGATGCCTTGAACCGCATCCTTGGGTGCAAGCAGACCCTCTCGGCATGAGCACGTAGTGGCGCATGTGTGTGTGTGTGTGTGTTACAAAACTGCAAACCAGCAGCACCTGGATTCGGCAGGCTTGATCACATTATCCTGCTGTTAACATCTTAGACACGTGTCCATTGTTCCATAGCTTGCTTCCACGGCGGCTACCTCTCTCCCAAATGGGGCGTAGACAAGGCACTCACGAGAACAACACTGACTTTGTGTAGAACGCATCCAAAGCGTACTCAGAGCATCGAGCAGCATATTTTCAAGTGTAACCATCAACAACATTCGATTCTCGTAGTTATCGTCAGCACCACTAGAAAACAACATAACCAGTAACGACAAACATGGCCAGCACCTCCACCACCACCACCATCATCGTCGACAGAGTACAGCCAGCCAGTGAAGAAGACTAGCACGAGAGTTCTCGTCTAACCACCTGAACAACCTTGCCAACAACTGAAGTTCACGTTCCAGCAACGACATCATGAATCGAGCCGGTGCTGGATAATTTGCCTCGGGCGCCTCGTCGGGCGCGGCGTCGGCCTGATGTTTCGCTCTCCTCGGCCCGAGGATTCGCACCAGAATGTGCCACAGCTCCCACAAATCCGGACACTTCCCGACCGAGCAAAGGCTTGACCTAGCATTAACACCAGGGCCGTGCTTGCCAAGATGGTGCAAGCCATGCCCTTAGCATGAAGCATGCTTTCCAAAGCAAGCCTGGCCCAACACTCCCAGAAACCCAACTGCACTAGGGACAAAGAGACTACGATATGCAACCGACGCCATAAAGCTTCTCTCACAAAGCTGCGGCGAAGGCTCCAGAACTGCCGGCAGCGTAGGCGAAGGATGGCTGGGCCGAGGCCTTCTCGAGCTTGGCCTCCACGCGACTGGTTCCTTGTTTTTTAATCCTTATTGGGTTTAATTGTAACAAAAATGTAAAGTTGTGTCCAACAAGGACCCAGAAGATAAGTGAACACATCGCAGGTGACTTCAGGGGATTATAGGGCGGACAAGGCTCTGGATATAGGCTTGGGAGGGTGGCAGTGTTTTTTAACTAGGGCTGCCGGGGCTGTGTATGGCTTTTCCAGCTTTCTTCTTAGATCTGATAGAGACATGTCGTGGTCGAGCATCGCTCTGGGCATATTACACCATCTGTTGGTGGAGCCTGTTTTCGCAGCAGATTCGATACTTGGAGGATCATGGGACTTAGTAAATAAGGTTATAAGTCCCTTAATTGGGGTTATAAGTATAGTTACCATAATTATAAGCCTGCTTACTAAGTCCCATGATCCTTTAAGTACCGTAAAGACTATTATATAGTTGGTTAAACCCAAAACAGGAACTACAATGGAGACTACAGGTAGGAGCTTTAACAATTGGAACAGGGTTTTGGGGTATACTAGGATACTATATAGTAAGGAACCCCACTATGAAAATCGTGTTGGTAATTATTTAGGCCCCTATATTAGGAAGCAGGCGGCTTGCAAACGCTCGCCGGAATGCTCAAGTTAGACACTCACACTCTGAGCACTGGACGCTTCCGTCTCTACGGTGAACATTAAACTCTGAAACCCTGGACAGGCACACGTGATACTCGCGTATGGTAAAGCCCATACACTGTAAACCCTAGACCGTGAAACACTGAAACCCCAACCCCCTTTTTTAAACACGGACTTGCAGTGTATTCCGGCAGAAAAGCTCAACCACAACCCCCTGAAACCCTAAACCCTAAACCCTCAACCCCTTGAAACCTACACTTCCTGAAACCCAAAGACTCGGAAGCCGACAAACTTTGAACTTTGCCACCCGAGGACTTCCCCTCAAAAACCCTGAATCCCGAAACCCCCTGCTAGAGCTCTTTATGACTGCAGTACAACCTCCCCGAAATCCGCTTACTGAACCCTTTTTTGAACCTAGACTCTGCCAATCAGCTTGGAAGCAGCACTTCTTTCCTAAACCCTACAGCCCAAATCAAATTTTACACCTGGGCTATGCATGCCCCAGGACCCTACTTGGAGGTTCATGGGTAGTTATAAGTGGGGTTATAAGTCCCCTAACATGTGTTATAAGTATAGTTACCCGACTTATAGAATGGGACTTAGTAAATAAGGTTATAAGTCCCTTAATTGGGGTTATAAGTATAGTTACCCTAATTATAACCCTACTTACTAAGTCCCATGATCCTTTAAGTATGCCCAAACCCAAAACCCCTTTTTCCCCCGGGCCTCTCAAACGGCAGGCACGTGTCAGAACTGCAGAGACCAGGCGCCGGGACGCCTGGAGGCCCAAGGCCTCCATCCTCTTGCAGGTTTTGGGTTTCGACTCACACACTCGCAAACTGCAGGCATGGCGATAAGTGTCTGAGATTGCTACGTTTAGGGTTTAGGTGTATTAGCTTTAAGGGCTTAGGGCTTAGGGTTTGGGGGTTAGGGTTTCCTCCATCCTCTTATAGATGAGTCTTGTTATGTTAAGATTGGGGTGTCTACGGTTTAGGGGTTTAGGGTCGGGTATGTGCTCGTTGGTGTTCCATGTGCTGTTTGTCCTACATGTTTATTTTGGATGCTTCTCTTGTTGTGGTTGGGGGAGCTTTTGTGATGATGAGAATCAAGCCGGGCTCTGATTTGGGGTGCGGCAGATGATGCTGAGGCCCAAAGACAGTAGCTTCTGCAATGACGGTGCGCGCGTTTACGTTGCGTCAACCGAACGATGGAAAACCGAGCCGATTCGAGCATGCACCCGAGACATTGCAGCGCAAAATAGGGCAGGTAGCGGAACTCAGGCAGAAGTCCGGACAGAATCCCTCAAAAGCCAAATATCCCGAAGCCCAAATCTCAAACCGTTTCACCATCTCGGCCGAGCAACTCGGCGATGAAGCCCATCGCCTCAACAAGCTGAAAATACGATCCCCGACGGGGCAGGGCTCACATATACTCCCCAATCTGGTTCTTTCATGTTTGGACTACCTGCAGAAACAACGTACGCAGCACAACGGAGTTCTCAAGATCACCGAGTGTAGCTTCCGTTAGGCTTGCCCCTCCTTGGAGAGTTCGGGCAACCTGGGCTCTCTAGGTTCGAACCGCTGAGTTTAGGGCTTCGGCTTAGGCCCAGGGATGTTTACGGTCTAGGACGGAACGTCAATCATTTCGTCACCGAGAAGTCGTCGGCAAAAGAGGATAGCAGAGATGGAAAAGGAACCAAATGCTGAACCCTGCCCCGAAACATGTCTGCAGGCACGAAGCCGTATTACAAGCCGGCTCCCCACGTCCGGCATATTCCGGCATGACTGTATCTCAACATCTTTGGGGTATTCCACCCAAGACAAGGCCTCCCGAGCCCCCAAGCCGCTAAACAGACCCGAGCCCGAAACCCTTTGAGAACGAAGGGCCTTCCGAGGATGCATCTCGGCGTTCAGCGCCAGATCTTCATAGGTACGGCTGAAGATGGGGACCCCCTTCCTGTCCGTGGCGCAAGTCAAGCTCTGCAGGGGCCAAGTTCGAGGGCCCATGGTTCCAGTCTGGTCATCGTATAACCACATAGGATTCGTGGCTTCAGAAATGGGTGGAGAAGGAAATCTGGTGGATCCCTAAGGCCAAATCGGTAATTCGAAGCTGTATCCCCAATTGCTCTGCCCTGACCTCAATGCCTAAACTCCTCATCCCGAAAGATTGAGGTTCGGAAATGCCCTCATGCCTCCTTTGTGTTAGAAAATCAGCAGGGCCCTGACCATGGAAAGCCCTGGTCCTATTCGGGTCTTACGAATTGGCAACCTGAACCCTCACTCCTGCAAGCCGGAACCCCAAAGCCTCAAACCCGAAAACCCAAAGCCTGTGAAGCCCCAGGCTCACCTGAAAACAACTGAAGCTGCACAGCTAAAACCCTGACGCACAATTCCTTCTCATGAACTCCAGCAAGCCCAGCGCTTCGTTCAGCCGCCCCTCCTTCGACTACATTTGAAGCCGTCGTTTCATTTAAAGAAGTGTTCAGCTAGCACGAGCTTGCCGCAGGAAGACCGAATACCAGTACTGCGCTTCATGTAACTCGTTTTCTTGCCAGTATTCTAGCATGATGAACCGTGTTGTGCCAACGCCAGCTAGCACCCAGTTATTGTTACTTGCCCTACGCACTACTAAGTAGTAGTGGTGGTAGCTGGTAGCCAGTAGTTAGCAGCAGTACTAGACGTCGTCGTCGTACTAGTAGCAGTAGGAGGAGGAGGCGGCGGAGGCGGGGTAGGGGTGGTAAGTGTACTAGTCGTACTTCCAGGGCTACCGATTACCACCACCACCACCGCCACCACCACGACCACCATAACAACAACACTGACGCCGTGACGACGACGACTACTACTGACGATGTCGAACCGCAGCGGTCATGATGTGGTTGAACTCAGGTTTCTTGCTTTAACAGCTTGCGACCACCTTGCCGGGCGTGGCTTGGAACTTAAGGGATCTCTGGCAGAAGAACTCTGGACGTGTTTGCTTCGCGGTGTGCCCGCATTGCTTCTGCAATGGCGGTGGGCAACTCTGAACATTTCCTTTCGAGTGCAACCGTTTCTTCAACAACTCCTCTCGAGGACCCTTCAAGCGACATGCACTGTGAACAAGTGGGTGATTTGCGCTTGATATGGCTTGGGCTATTTCTGGCATCACCAGAAAGCCGGACAACAGTCGACAAACGAATCGACAAGTTCATCTTGCTACGAGCATTGGATGCTCTGTAACAACGAACCAGTACTGTTGTAAGACTTGTCGAATCCTGCTCATGTAACTGGGTTTAGGGGCCCTCAACCCTAAACCCGAAAACCCTTAAACCCCAAACCCAATGTATCCTTCAGAGACAGGCGGATGAGAGCGTGGAAGGCGCCACTGGGGGGCAGCATGAGGGACAACGGCAGAAGCTCGCCTGAGCTGGAGGAGTCGAACCCATTCATGTAGGGGCCTTATAATACCTAGAATAGGGTTCCTTTAAAGCGTTCCCTATAAAAGGGATGCTCCAAGGCATACTATAATGTTTTTTTTTGTAAAGGCCGTAATAATTAGAATGGGGTTTGGGGGGTATATTATACAATAAGACTACAGGTACAATAAGGACCCCCCCCCAAAAAAAAACCCTTGGTAATTAGCTTGGTTTCTATATTGAAAGCTTTTTGAGATCACAAACAAAACCCATGACGCCCAGACTGCCCTAGCTTCTTCGGATTCGCAAACCGCCTATTTTTTGATATGGTAACATGGCGACATGCACAACTTTGCTGCGTCAGCACTGCCACCACCACAGCTGCAATGACGACGACGACAACGATAACAATGCTGAAGACAACGACTACTACTCTACGACCACGGCTACATTTAACAATGCTTTCCGACATTGGGCGGAGGTCCATGGTTCTATAAAAAGAGCCTGCCGACACATGCAAGTGAAGATGCGATCACATACGTACATACCTACAGTGCCTACATACATATATACTGACAGACACACCTACAAACGGACAGACTGCAGACAGGCAGGCAGGCAGGCAAACAGGCAGGCATGCACACAAACAGGCAACACACACAGGCATAGGTATACGGTAAGCATGTGTCTGCGCATAAATACTTACAGAAATACAGCTAGGATTTAATCGATATGGTGTGCATATATCAACAAGACAGGAAAATATTATGTCATAGGCTGAACAAGCAGAGCTTGGCACGGTGCACACCGGGGTTTGTACTCCCATAGTTATATAATTTAGAGACTTCTGCAGCCATGCAAACACCAAAACACCTGTACCATGCATAATGTTAGTGCTGAAAGGCTGCAACAAAGCATGTGCAACGCCAAACGAAAAGTTTCCGACAACATCCGGCTTGCTGGGACAACGGCTCCTCACTCAACAATCTGTCTAGCTGCTGGGTTTCACCGCTTCAAGATCCGGCTCCAAGTGCAGGAGATCACACAACTCCTGCGCGGGCTGAAATCCAACCTTCCTGTTCTGCTTGCTTGCTGCTTGCCAGGACTGATGCCTACATGAACTGTAGAATTACTTGCGGATTCGAAAGTGCAACACGATGTAACTTGCAGAGATATGAAACCTAACGGCCCAGCACGCCAACCGCCGTAAAGAAACGCTTCAAGCGCGAGGAAATTGACGTGCCAGTTTCATTTTTCGTTATGCCTCACCCCGTGTCGCTTTTTCGTCTTGTCTGTAGCTCCTTCCCAGGCATGGAAACCCTCTGAAAACTGTCATCAGTGGCATGACCATCCTCAGGGCCATCACTACTTCCTTCCAGATTTCGTCAAGATGACGATGATGATAAAACCCCTTTCTGAACCAGTAGCTTGTATTCGTGCCTGGCTTCTAGGGCAAAGGCTTCACCAGGACCGCCCTTGCGAGCTGCGCTAGAACGATAAGTCCGACTAGAAATCTCACTATGCGGATCCTCAGAGGCTCGACTTGCCTTAGACTCCTGACGTCGTTGTGGGCGTTCTTACCGGCCCTGCTAGCAAAGTGTCTATACTTGTGTTTCAGAACCCAACCTTAAACTCCTTAAACTAAAGTATATGAGATATTAGATACTAGATATTATATATATACATATATATATATATATATTTAAACTATATATTTTATAGTAGGTATTAAGTATTAGACACTAAAATCTGTATATATATATATGTGTGTGTATATATATATATTATCTATCTATCTATATATATATATATATATATGTGTGCAGATGTATATGTGTAAAGATATATGAACTTATATATAATTGTTTGTACATACAAATAGACACAACAACAACACATGGCAACTGAGCCCAGCACCATTCCTGCCTGCCGATGTCTGCACACGCCTGAACTTCTCGCTTCATGGACACATCCTAAAACTCGAAACTCGGAACCCTGAAGCCCTGAACCGTAAACCCAGCCGCGCCACCTTAAACGCCCTAACATCCGAGACCCTCAAAGCCTAAGCCCTATTTCCTGAAACCTGAAAGCTGTCAAACCTTCGGCCCTGAAGCCTTAAACCCTAAACCTACAGGCCGTAGACATCGTCTTGAGAGCCGGGTTTGGGATGGGGCTGGAAGTGGGAAGCTCGAAACCTAAACCATCAGGCTTACATTCAAACTCAAATCCTAAACCCTA